TATTGAGCCCAGCATTTTGCTCTGAGCGACATCGCCAGCCCTTATTCTAATAGTATTACATTTCAGGACAAGGTCTTTCCATGTTGCTACACTGTCCAGGCTGTGCTTGATTTATATCTTGCACAGAATAGGGGCAAATATTTGTTAAGAAAGTTTCCTGGCCTCACTCTCAAGAAGCAGTCAAACAAATCTCATATTTGTTCTTCTTGAATGATTGCATTTAACCCTGAAGGAACTGTTCCTCACCCCCCATTACTGAGGTCACTATCCACTATTAACAAAAATACAAGTTAGGTGAGAAGGCGGAAAAAGGAATATGTACACGCTGTTGGAAATATAAATTAATATAGTCATTTTGAAAAATAGCATAAAATTCTTCTAAAAATGTTAAAATCTAATTATGGAATAGGATTGTAATCAAGCAATCTTGCTTCTTGCAGTATCAAAAAGTTGAAATTAATATGTTGACCTGATGTGATGCCCACGTTAATTTAGGTATTCTACATTTCTTTTCTTTTTCCTGTACCGGGAATCGAACTCACGACCTTGCGCTTGCCAGGCAGGCGCTGTGCCGCTGAGCTAAATCTCCAGCCCCAATTTCGGTATTATGTACAATAACCGAGATATGGAGGCAGCATACCTATTCCTTCATGGGGACTGTGTGAAGGAAATGTGGTAGATACATGTACAACAGAGCACGATAAGCCTGGATAGCAGAAAGGGTTCTGGCACTTGCAATAATGTGGATGGAGCCGGAAGACATCATGCAAAGTGAGGTAAGCCAGACCCAGAAAGCAAATACCAAATAATCTCAGTACACAGGGAGCCTTAGACAGTTTATGTCATGAAAACAGAGAGTAGAAAGCTGGTTCTCAGAGACCAGGGGTGGGAAGAGAAGGGTAGAGAAAGAGGGGCTGTTGAACAAAGGGTATAAAGCTTCAGTTGGACTGGAAAGGTATTTTAGTGACTCTAGCACCACACATTGACCACTGTATTGTATGTATCAAAATCACTAAAATAATAGGTATTTAAATTTCCTACCACAGGAAAGGTGAGTTGATATGTGTG